CATGCAAAATTAGGCATAAGTCATACATATTTCTCTTAACAAATCATTTCAAAACAAATACAATATAGCATCCACTCAGATAAAGAAACAACATTGTCAGTCCTATAGAAGTATTAAATGTGGCCTTTTCTGATTATAATCTACTCATTTCTACCCATAAGTAATCAATATTCTGACTTGTGAAATAATTCACTTTTTATTCTCAAACTTATCTAGAGTTTAAAAACAAACAAACAACAACAACACCAAAAACTCCCTTTGTTGTCGATACTTTCTCACTATGACCAAATTCAAATTTAAGGAAAGGAGGGAGGAGAAAATTGAAGGGGGAAATAGAAATTGAGAGATGAATAAAGAAAAGTGAAAAGAAAGAGATTGATTGATTCAGGGTGTCTTAGCTTGGGGCACATCCTCAGGCTTGACTGACATTCCAATAAAGACTAACCTGAATCAGAACAAAAATAGGACCTAACACAATATGTGGATGTCAATCCCAGCAGAAATGTGAACAGATGAAGGTCAGACAAAACTGACAAATGTCTACTACATCCATGAATTTTATACTAGTGCCATTATCACAAATTCCTACATAGTAAAATAAAAATTCCAAATATTAGGAAACTCTTCACTTTGGGAGCATATATCTTGATTCAATAAAAATCAAATTCTTATATCCACCATTTATTTGTAGTGTTATCTGACTTTCCTTTTCTGTTTTCTCTATACTGTACACTCATTTAAGAACTTGATCAAATTCCACCTCAGAAGCCAACTAAAGAATGAGAACAGCTATGCACCAGTCAGCATTATGGTCTCTTTGTATTAACCCTTACTACAATTTCATTTAATGAGCCACTACTCTGAACCATGCTCTGTAATGAGCATACACCTGCACTATTTTGATTTTCATAATAATCACTTGAGATAGAGACTATCATTATCCCCATTCCACAGAAAAGGGGAAAATGAATCTCAGATATGTTAAAAAAAAAAAAAAGCATTATAGGAACTTCCATGCATCTTACATAATCCAGAGCACAGAGTCAAAGTGCACTGAGCACTTTTATTCGCTAAATAGACCTTCTAAGTACCAATATTAGGAGAGGCAATATAAGGAGAGAAAGAACTATTTAAAAACAATTTAAAATGAATTTCCATTTGAAGGTACTCTATGGAAAATAGTCTATGTTAAACCAGAACTTTCTAAAAGAAAATAAACTCAGTTTAACAGCAAAAACTATTTTCTTATAGTAGTGAAAAATCAATAATATCTGGCTGGGTACAGTGGCACACACCTGTAATCCCAGTGTTTTGGGAGGCTGAGGCAGGAGCATCACAAGTTCAAAACCAGCCTCAGCAACTTGGAGAGGCCCTAAGTAACTTAGTGAGACCCTGTCTCTAAGTAAAATATTTAAAAAGACTGGGGATGTAGCACAGTGGTTAAGCACTCCTGGGTTCAATCCCTGGTAGAAAGAAAGAAAGAGAGAGAGAGAGAGAGAGAGAGAGAGAGAGAGAGAGAGAGAGAGAGAGAGAGGAAGAAAAGAACAGAAAGAAATATCTGGCTTTTGAGAAAATTTAAGTTTTTATCTCCTGTTATAAAATTTCCATCTAACTACATATCCCAGTATTTTCATATTAATTCACAAAATAACAGAATATATCATGTGATTCATTGTCATTCTAATAATATCCAATAAATCACATTTCCAAGGATCTATGTCCTTTCTATTCCTCTCCTATATGGACTTGGTTATGTGACTCAGGAAAATGAGAAAAGGACAAGCACAACAGGGACCTGACCTGTCAGGGTGTTGCTACCACTGTTCTGGACTTCTAGAGGACCAGAGACCACGTGGAGAGATGCAGCCATCAAAAATGCCTCAGCATTTTATTATTATTATTATTATTATTATTATTATTATTATTATTATTATTATTTTGTTGCTTAACATTAGTAGAAAACTGATTTGTAAATTGGTTTCAAAATTTAAACATGGCTACTGAAATAACCCAAAACTTATGACATTGATTTTAGGAATGGGGAGTGAGTAAACATTGAAGGAGTTGGGAAGAACATAGTATTAGAAGCTAGAAAGATTTTTTTTTTGTAGTATTGAAATAAAGCAGACTGTTTTCTGCAGTATTTTGGAAGATAAAGAATATGTCTAATGATTTAATGATGAACTTTTAAATATAGTTAAGAAGAATTCTAGGAAAAATGTTACAATATTAATTATTTTCTATTAGCTATGTGTGATGGAGTAAAGTAAGAGAAAGAACACACACTCACACATACACACACAAAGATATTTCACTTTGCAAGGTGAATTTAGAGAATATGAAAAGGGGATGGTTAGAATATATAAGTTATCTCACATATTCAGTCTCTAAAGCCAGCAGAGGGTTCTTAAAGAAAGCAGTGTCTTCAAAGTAATTTTCAAATCAGTGATTTCATTATGACTATAATTATTATGACTTCAAAATAATTTGTGGTGCTTAGTAGATACTGTCATCTACTCATAAATGTTTCTACGTATCTTATAGATTTTAACTCACCACAGCCGCACATACAGTCTTAGGTTAAGAAAGAGAATTGTCTTCAGAATAAGTGTAGATGTAGCTATAGGGTTCTCAAGTGAACTTCTGATTTATAGAAAAAACTCAAATTGTTTCAGGGAATTTATCATTTTGGACCAAAAAGGAAAAGGACGATTTAAATGCAGCAGAAACCTCTGACTCTCAAACTTAGCAATGGCAGTAGGCTGAGAAAATCCCTCAGAGCAAATGCATTTCTTATTTTAAAAAGAGGAGGAGGAGGCAGAGGGGGCAGGGGTGGGGTGGGGAAGTCTCACAGGCAGAACCAAATTCTCAGAGGTGCAAACCAAGAGGCAAAGAGAACAATGTTTTTTGTTTGTTTGTTTTTTATGTGTTCTAATTAGTTATACATGACACTAGAATGCATTTTGACACATTGTACAGAAGTGGAGCACAACTTCTCATTCCTCTGGCTGTACATGGTATGAGTCACACCAGTAGTGCAATCATACATGTATATAGGGAAATAATGTCTGACTCATTCTACAGCCCCTCCCATCCCCACAGCCCCTCCCCTCTATTTTCTCCCCTCTGCATAATCCAAAGTGGTGATATACTTTACATGTCCATTCTTCCCTACCCTACCCCCACTAAGGATCAGCACCGCTTATCAGAGAACACATTCAGGCTTTGGTAAAGAGAGTGCTGTTTTAGAAATGACTCTCAGGGAATAGAATCGGACCCTGATCAAAAAAACATCTCCTGTCTCTTATGTGTGCAGTTCTGATAACATAAGCATTAGCTTTGAGAATCACTATCGTTTAGTGATTGCTATGTTCTTCTCTTTCTTCCTCATTTTGAATATGGTTGTCTATTGCTGTCATCTGTATTTGAGTCACTGTTGTATGTTAAATATGGATCAAGAAGTGTTCCACCCAAAATACCTCATCCTTACCCAGACCTGATTTGGTTTATGAAATCATGAATTTCTTAATTGATGCTAGGACTGGATGAAGCTATGGGTGCTTAGGAGATGATGAGTGTATTTTGTGTATGGAAAAGACATGAATCACTGGAACCAGAGGCAGGATTGTGATAAATTGTGACCAAAATGGAACTCCATGAATCATACCTTGTAACCACACTTTTGTGAGATTCCCTCCCTCGTGGGATTTCTTTTTTGCAATGGGACATCAGAATATGCAGTGTAAACAGAGGCTCCATAAGTATTTGCAACTGGGATTGTGCTAGAAATGTTGCTCCCACAATGTGAGGAAGTCCATTCCAACCTCTTGAAAGAGGGAAGACCATGTACAGAGACACCAAGCCAGGTAAAGGTGGCAAAAGCTGTAGGTTAGTGACAAGTATCAGATTTTTCTGTAGCCCTATTGTCCCTAACTAATGCTGAGAAATAGGAACTGTTCGATCAGTGCTAGCTAATAGATTGACCTTTCAATATCAATCAGTATTTTACTCCACAGCTCCTTTAGTATTTAATAACTTACATATCATATTAAAAAGATCTTTACAGAATAGAAGCTTTGATTGTTGCCCTTCGTTTGTTGTTTGGTTTCACCAAAGAGCTACATTTAAATTTGAGTGTTTAAATTTGATTATTATATTTAAATTTAATATTTATTTTACCTTTCAGTTTTTAAACATGTGATAATGTAGAGATAGATTTTTAAAAAATATTTTTTAGTTGTAGTTGGATAGAATACATTTTATTTATTTATTTATTTTTATGTGGTGCTGAGGATTGAACCTAGGCCCTCACATGTGCAAGATGAGCTCTACTGCTGAGCCACAACCCCAGCCCTAGAGATAGATTTTTAAGAATTTAAATGAAATCTAAAATAACTTACCCATGCATATTCATTTTGACATTTGGGATTTAGCTCAGGAATTTGGACTTGTCCTGAATAACCTTTGCTAAACATGGGAGGTTATGTGTGTGGAAGGGGATGTGGAGAGAAGAAAACACCAGGATTCTATGAGTATTAACAAGTTTTGGTAATTTTTCTTAAATAAATGCTTTCTAATTTACTGAATTCCTTTAGTTAATTTCCACAATACAGAAATTGTTGCTTTTGATAATTTTGTAATATTATTAGTAATGTTTGTGGGTAGAATTCTGTGAGCTCCTTTGTTAAGCCATTCTGGAAGTCCTGTGCCCCCTATACTTCTACCTTCAGAGTCCTTATTTTATATCTTCCTTCTAATTCCAAAATAATATATGAATATTCATCTATATAAACCTATTTATGTAATAAAGTACATTATTCACCACCATTTTCTTCGTTCATCTTACCGTATTTTTGGTATACTATTCCAATTACTTTGCTTGGTTCTATTGATGTACTTCTTTCTTGAGTGTTTTCCTCAGATAAGCTGTATGATTTCTATGTTACATATTCACAGCCTTAGAAACCAAAGAACTGTAAGAAACGTGGGTATATTCTCACCTGGGAATTTTCACTTCCGTGGGTAATATGGCATGGAGGTCTAGGCTCCCATGAAAGAGAGCTCGCCCTTGGTCTCTTACAAAACCACAAGCAAGAAAGATGTTGTGCCAAACCTGTAAAGAAAGCTAAAAACATACTATATTCACCAAACCAGGGACATATTAGGAAATGAATTAAATACATTAATGTATAAATACAACTCCTTCAGGAAATCAGGAACTTGAGACTACCAGCTTATGTGAACAAGCCTGAATCTACACCCTGTGCATGATGCTCTGACCTAGATCAAGACATTGACATAAAAACTGAACTATAATTGGGTGGGGGGAAAGCTCAGGCTCACTTAGAAGTGTACCTAATATTAACTCATGGGAAGGTTTTTATTATCCATAACATTCAAAGACTCTTAGAGAAAAAAAAAAGTCCATGAAAATGAATTTATAGGTAAAATTGTGAAACATGAGGAAACTCGATATGGCTTCAGATTTCATAAAACAAAAAATTTGCATCCAAGGCATAAAGCAAATAGGTCAATGTGAAATAGTATTGAAAATAAATATGCTTTATGTCTAAAGCAATATGTAAATACAGGAAGTCCATAAAACAAGAAGAGGAAAGCTGTGAAACAAAAGCCATAAGTACAGAATATCCACAAAAACTTAGATATTAAATACAGCAATTGAAATAAAAATTATTCAACATGGATCAATTGTGGATGAAATATCAATGAAGAAAGAGTTAGTAAATTGAAATAAAGAATTAAGGAAAGCACCCACATATAGACAAAATGAAAGAAAATGTGGAAAAAAAAACATGTAAAATATATCACCATTCAGGACTTTTCCCCCAAACTCTGTGTATTAAGCTGTCTACTCATTCATTTTTACTTGTAGTTAAATGGGCATTTCATATCTGGGATGTCTCAATCAAACTCCTAATTCTTCCACCCAAAGCTATTCTATTTACCACCTTTTTCGATTTCAACTGATACTAAGTTGAATTCCATATCATCAACTTGCTGATTATAACCAAATTTGACCACTGCTCAGACCAGTTCCTCATTCTGCCTGTCTCAGCCACTGTAGTCTTTCTTCTGAGTTATTGCAGCAGCCCCCTATTAGGTCTTTTTGTACTGCCCTTGCAATCAAATCTCAATAGAAGCTAAAAGATCTCTTTATGCTATAATTAAATTTATGTCAATTCTGTGCACTGAACTTAAGGATTTTATTTCCATTAGAGTAACCAAAACTGTCACAGTGACCTTCAGAGACCTGTACAACCTGACCTCTGTACATACACTACCACCTCACTTGCTTTCTCCCATCCCCATCACTTACTGTACTCCAGACACTGCAAGAGTCTCACCATTCCTGGATTATAGCAGGCTTGTTATGCCCTAGGACCTTTTCTCAAGTTGCTGCTGCTTTCTGAAACATGTCTTCTCCAAAATACCATGATTAACTCCCTCATCAATTAACTGCTCCCGTATTATCATCTTTACACTGAAGACTTCTTGAACATGTTATTTAAACCCATCTCTCATCCCAAACACAATGGCTAACCAGATTAAATACTTCATAAATGTCAGCAATTAATACATTTTATATAAAATTTTTTAATAAAATGGACTGATAGACAATGGCAATATGATAAAATATTAAATTGGAAAATGTGAGTCATTTAGGAAACTTATAATGAGATATTACCTTTTTGTACAAGATCAAAGGATGATGAAAAGGTAGGACTGATTGACTCCAGGTGAGATGCTGAAACCAAACTAATTTAGCTGCAAAATATACAGGAGACCACGGAGGGTAAAAACTGCGAACCTGGTCATCTGTAGGCATTGTAAACTCAAATACAGGTGGGAACCAGACAGGCAAACTTAATGTGTGCACCAGGAAAGGTTTAAAACAACAGGAGTGAGGCCTATGGCAAACAAGAAAGCACATAGCCCGTAAAGAAAACCAAGCATATCTTCCCAGAGCTGTACTTCCTCCTGGAGTGTGATTTCTGACTTATTTCCGTTAGAAATGACAAGTCAACTAACTTACTGCTTCTTTGTCTTTGTGGCAATTTTGCTTTAGCTTAAGATAGTTTTGGGGAGAAAGGACTTTTAGATATCTTTTAGTGCATGATTTCCCAAAAAGTAAACATTTCTGCTTCTGTGCCTAAGGAAAGAGCCTCTTAGGTACACTTAGCATCCACACTTTTATTCTGAAATTAAATTCAATGCTTGGGCTTAATCAAGAATTTGAGATTCCAAAATGTGGCTTGTGAGCAACCCAGACCCTTGGAGGAAGCAATTCTTGGAAGTGACATGTAGATCTCTTGCCATATGGTTTGCACATGCATTTTCTCCATGCATGGCTAATTCAAGGGCATGAGAAAACATATGCAAGTGCTATTGGGCACAGAAATTTAGACATTTCTTTGAAATGTTGACCTTAAAATGTTTAACACCTGTAGTATCCAGGATATGACAACATCTTACAAAACTACAACTCTTCATTTTAAATATAACTGGAAATGGTCACCTTGTGAAAGGGGAAAGAAATCTTGTCTTCTCCACCCAAAATGTAATTTAAACTACACAAATTTAGAATAAAAATATTTATCTATGTCAATGTTGTTAGGTTTTGTTTTCAAAATAATAAGATGGTTGACTTGAATCACCATCAGAAAAAAAAGTCCATTATCCTACAACTTACACAAAATAAACTTCTAAAATCAAAATGTTCAAGATAGGTTTTGTGCAACATAAATAAAATAAACAAACAAAATAAATGCTCTCAATGCTTAGATTTCTGCATTGCACTAAAAAAGGATCCTGAGCTTATAAAATGCTCCTGAGTTTATAAATATGAAGTTTTGTTATTCATTTAATCTAAAACAGCCTAAGGAAAGCCTTTACCTGTAAACATAGAAAATCTGTGACACTGATTTTTTAAATAATAATTTTAATTATAACTTCAAAAAATATAATTTTAGTTAATCTTAGTTTAGCCAACTGAGACAGACCATTTTAATTTTCTGAGCCTCCCTTTATTCATATGTAAAATGAGCTCAATCACATCTACTTTACAGGCTTTAAAAATTATCAAATGAATATAAGGTAAATCAATGGGCTTAGAGTTACATAGTATGTCCACCAGCTAGTCTAGATGGAGCTAGATCAACCTGGGGCTGATTCTTCATTCTCCTTCTTGTATTCTATATGACCTCTAATAATTTATCTAATCATTTAGTTTGTGGTGGGGGTAGGGCAATTACTATAGCATATTACAACTCTACTCAGACTGAGTGATATTCTGTGCATAAAATGATTACCTAGGAATTACAATGAACAATTGAACTAAATTGACCATTATCTATGGATCATTGTATGATCAATGTGACAATAACTAAAAGTTAATATTTTCTGAGGCATTTTTCTACACAAAGCATCTTGCAAGTATGTAATGCAGGTCATTTGATCTTACCATATTTTCACAACCCTTTTGGAATACATAATAATGTTAACACTAATACATAACAACACTTGACATTCAGACAGGCTAAGTAACTAGAAGACAAAAAGTAGATCTAGTAGAATGGGGAAAACAAGGAAGAAGAATCTTTACTCATCCCTTTCTGAGTTTATAACTATTAATATATTTTGGTGATTGCATGGCAAAAATTAATTTTTTAACTCTGTGCATTAGAATCACTTGGAAAATTTCCAAAAAAAAAAAAACAACAACAACAACAACAAAACCAATGCCTGTTCTTGGTAGGAATTCTGATTCATTTGGTTTGGGTAAAACCCAAGCATCTATATATTTTTTTAAAGTTCCAAGTTCACTAACATATATAATTTTATTGGAAAATGTTGACTAAGATTGAGGATAGGTACAGTTATTAACATGTCCAAAGGACAGAAAAGGTAGTCAAAGAATGACTTGACATGGACATTTCGGAAAAGTATATAATTAAACAATAATTCGCTGTGGAATTCAGACCCTTAAAATTTGAATATGCTGCTTACTTAAATGATTGAAGTACAGTTAAATAGTAAAAGTGCTTAGTGGAAGATATAAAAGGGAATCAAAGGTAAGTATTTATTTTCCATCAGATTTTAGTAATCTGCCAACAGAATAGAGAGAGAATTAAGGAGATAAAAAGAGAATGGAGGTGTGAAACCTTCTAGCCAGCTAGAGGGATACTGGAGGAAAACATCTTTCTCAACAAAATTCAGAGTAATATTTTAACATATATATCTTTTTCATTCCAACTCATATCCAGTTCTTCTTTTTTTTAAGTTGGAAAAGGAAATAGTATTTTAATAGCCTGTTCAGTTCATTGTAGATATCTTTGATTCTATACCAAAACTCAGCAGGTAATAGTCTAATTCAGGTTAATTGCATATGAAAACTAAAAATATATCAATGAATTTTCTGTACTTTCTTACATTAAAATATTTCAGTCCATCTAACACTTTATTTTTTTAAATTTTTTATTTGTTCTTTATAGATATACATGACAGTAGAGTGTGTTTTGACATATTTTTCATACAAATCCATTCCTTGTGAGTGGTAATTACTTTCCTTTAAAAAGTTCTCATGTTCTGTAAAATTCTTTTTTTTTTTAGTTTTCTTCACAGTCCTTTTGGTACATATAAGATTCAGCAAAAGTTTGAACATTCTCAACATTTTCCCTTGAATTAATGAATAACAATAGATATCAGATGTGGTATTTATTGACCAACTGTGATCTGAAAATAGCAGCACCTAACATTCCTTTCCTACTCCTAATCTACTAAAAAAAATCATTAGGCCAGACTTTTGTGCTAGTGGCAAATTACAAGAGTGTCTTCAGGACACTCAGTGTTCTTTTGCTGAAACTATACTCAAATTGTCAGTTTCCACTAACATTCTCCAACAATTTGGCAGTTTGAGCCTTTGAGTTACAAATCAGCAGGTTTCATTTCAAACATCTGTGGACATTTAAGTTCACTGGAAAATTGGCAAAATTATCCTAAAGGATAAAAGACACTTGAGAGTGATATCAGTCATCCATCATCCCTCACAATCATTCCAGCCGAGCAGCAAGTTTAGAAAATTGGCACCGGGCTCCATCTTTTCTC